CAGGGACTACAATTGAGATGGAAAAAAAAAAGGTGGTGATGGTCTCACTGACCATACCGATGACTTGGTCCTCTTGATGCTTAATCTTGCATTGGGAGCACACATGTGAATGCCTGGCATGGTGAATATAAAAGAAACATGACTTGCAGTTCCGTGATGAGGGACATCGCCCAAATTTTCAAGCCTCTTGTCTTCACAAGCACACTGTTTACGCTCGTGCCCTTTGCCGTGACCCTGATAGTTTTTCTCCTGCTAATCTTCTCCCTGGGGAATTATCTCAGGAGAGTACAGCTCAATGCCAAGGGCCCCAGAAGTGCCAGCGCCACATAAAAGCCTTGCCAAGTGGGGTTGCCTTCCTGCTACTCTGCTGTTTTCTTTCTGTCTCTTTCTAGGTCGTTTTGGTGCTTGGAGCTTCAAGTCAAAAATCGGATCACTATGTTTTACCAAGATGTTGGAGCTGTTTATCCTTCGGGTCACCCGTTTGTGCTGATTCTGGGACACCATAAGCTGAGACAGGCCTTTCAATCAGTGCTGGGCTGGCTGAGGTCTCGGTTCAAAGATGAGAACCCTGTAAGCTCCTACACTAGAGAGAGGCTCATCCTGCACGTCGTAGTTGAAAATCAGTTAATAAGGAATTTTTTGACATAAGTGTATATACTTCCCCACTCATCTTCCATTGGTGTAACATTTAGATGTTTAAACTTATGTTTGGAATAAACACTATCCAAGTATCATGTCAACTGAGCATGGTACATGTCATTTGTGTTCATATACATATACACAAGAGGAGGCGAATGTGAACCCCTTCAATGTAAGAATGATTTACATAAAATGCATAATATGCATTTTGTGCCTAGCATTCACCTTTTGCAATTTTATGTTGAGAAACCTATAAAAATTGTGTGTATGTCTGTAAAACATAGTTTCTAAAAGTAGAACTTTGTACCTTTATGTATATGTAATGAATTCCTAATCTAGATTACATACATAAATTTCAGATTAAAAATGAAGCATAAACTATAAACTGTTGCAAATCACATATACTAAATCTATTGCCTCAAATGCACGTCCCAATTTACAAATGATTTTTAAAAGTTCTTTGCCTGTTTTATTTCAATACCTTTTCTACATCATTAGTTTCACGTTCTTGGACTGCATATGTATCATTATTAAGAATATATTTGGAAATAACTTATATTTTCCAATGTAGTAAAATATATAACACAATACACTTTAATATTATTTTAAAAATCTGTATTGATGTTACATGGAATTATATTATTACATGTGATTCGGGTGTGCATAACTCTAGATCAACATTGTCATGCAGTATATACATGTCTTTTTTTTAAATATATATATTTAAAAATAGTTTTTAGGGCCCTCCATGGTGGCACAGTGGGTTAAAGCACTGCACTAAAAAAATAGTTTTTAGCTGTAAAACAATAGTTCACTTTTGATGTATAAACCTGCCAAATATTGGCCAACGATGGTCTATTAATCTCTTTTTGGGAAATTGGTGTTTCATTACATTTTATTTTATTACATACTTCTATTTTATTGGTGAGTGGAAATCATCCAGGCCACAGGAACAGAAATGTAGAGTCATCCCCATGTAACCAAAACAGATTTAGCATGAACTTTGAATATTTGTACTTGTTGTTAATGTTGGTTCTATGGCAGAAAACTGAATATAAAAAGTGAAAATTGAGAATAAACTAAATCAGGTGGAGTAAGGAAAGGAAAGAGGACTCTTTCTATCCCTTATTGTTAAATCTTGGGTGTGATAGTCTGTGTACTTTTAAAAATGAAGAATTCTTCACTTAGGGCTTTTATTCACAAGGAAATCTCTTCAAAGTACAGAATTAGTGATTGAAATAAATGCTCCTGCTCTCCTAAAGTGGTTCTTTCATGTATGCATAAGCAAATATATATTGAGCATCTATCCTATGTGCTTTTGAAAACATTTTAATAAGAGACATTAAATATAAAGCAAAATAAAATAAAGTGTGTCCATAACGAATAGGTAGCCGCTATAACCAGCAAGTTACAATATTCATGCCTGCCCTAGGTACTGTGTATATTTCCTTCTTTATTGCTCCTGCATGCAAGCTGTATGTCTGGTGAAGAAGCTGAGCTTCTGAACTATTGAGTGGTTTGCCTGGTGGTGCATGAAGACGCAAGCTCAGAATGAGAGTAATAAGCCCAGAACCTCAGGGATTTTTCTCCAGACTTAAAACAGCTACAGAAAGAGGCTTCCCACAGCTACATTTGAAATCTGGTGGGAAAATAAAAACAGGCAAAAATACCTAACTTTAAAGAACATTAAATATTCTTTAATTCCTATATTTGGCCCCTGGTTTCTGTGTCTACTAAAATGTCATTGTTCATGCTTATTTGCTTGTTGTTGAGTTAAAAGTCAGTTTCCTTACTAAATTGTCATGTGGACTCTCCTTTTTAGATTTATTTATTTATGCATACAAAAACTGGGATACAGGCCAGAGGTGCGTGGAGGTGGGGGATGAGAGGATTTATCAGAGACAGAGTGGGGAGCGGAACAAGCAGATGTTTTGAAAATACACTGCTGAGGGGAGCAATCAGCAAGACAAGAGTGACCTGCCATGCTCTGTGGGTCACCCCCCTGGCCAGGGATGGAACCTGGTGCTGCAGTGGCTGTGGATAGCATCATAGTGCTGTGCTTTAACCTGTTGTGCCACCAGGTTGGGCCCATATGGTCTCTTTTGAAAGCTGGTTCTTGTCTTTTGCAGGTAGAAAATGTTATCATTTGCATACAATGACTGTTTTACTTCTTTTAAATTGTTTGCATGTTTTTGATTTGAGTGTAGATTTCAACAGTAAACTTTCAAATTGTTAAACAATGGTGTGATAATTAGCATCCTTTTAAATGGAAGATTTTTCCTGTTTTTTCACCAACAGGCATAATGTTGACTTCATTTTGGGGTAAATACTTAAAAAAAATCTTCAGAGAGGATCTTTCTGTTCCTATCTTGCTGTGTGTGGTACTATAATAAAATCTGCATGAAAAATATCATATGTGTGTTTCATTGTTAGATGATCAGATATTTCCTCTCTTGGACAATTAAAATAATGAGATCTGCTAATAGTGCTACACAAAATGAGGGTGCAAACTCTGTCTGCAGGTCTCGATTTAGTAAAGTATCATATATTTTAGTAACATTCATACATATTGTGACAAAATTGCACCATTCAAAGGCAAATTGAAATTCAGAAAATAACTACAAAGTTTTTTTTCAATGTCTATCTTATTTGATCAATGACTTCTGGGTCACTGGTGAATGGAAAATAAAATGGACATGAAGCAAAGGTTAGAGAGAAAAGTTTATGAGAAATAAACAAGACTTTCTGAGACACGTGACTAGTTTTTATGTTTATTTTTAAAAAGCTTGGTAATTTTCTCTTTTTAAAAATCTTTTGTATAAATGGCCATGGTAAAACTATCATTATCTGATACTTGAAGAAACTCTTCCGTGTGATCACTTATATCTGCAGTTTCCAATAGTTTTTGTTGACTATCCTTTAAAATCTTTGTTATTTGACATATAATTCTCTGAGGGACAAGATAAAAATATTAGAATAGTTGTAGAATCTATCTTAAATTAGTGGAATATTTAAAGATATGGGAAAATCCATGTAACATGGGATATGAAGGAATTTGTCTTGATTGGAGGAAAAAGAAGAATGGAAATCTACTTTTTAAAAATGTATTTTAACTGGTTTGAATGACTTGGTTAAATACTAAAAGAAAGCATAATTCTAAAAATTATAGGGGATTTGGTAGGCTGAAAATGACCACAATCTCTTTGACTCTTAGTGAGAGGGGACATATTTCTCTTTTGAAACTGGCAGGCTCTAACTGCTTTGATCAATAGAATCTCATTTTTTTAAAAAGACTTTTAAAAAGGAAATACTAGAATTAAGCAAACTATCACATGTTAGAAATGATTAGGAGAGAAGAAAAAAAATCCATCATCCTCCTTCCTAGGAAATGTATGCAATTGACTTGAATATGTTAATGCTAAAAGGTAAAATGTATGGAAAGTTCTCTGACAGCATTAAAGAAATGGGAGACAGTTGACCGTGATTCGAGTCAGGAGCTGCACCCTAAATGGAGTCTCTGCCTCTCGCTGATTCTCACTGTGTGGGACTCAACCCTGAAGCAGCCGGAAATGAGCTGCATTGACCTAGAGCAAAGTGCATCTTCCATTCCCCACCCCAACAACCATTCTCCCCTTACAGAGCGGCTTCCAGAGACCAAGATTCACTGTTCTGCCTTAGGAGGCTGATAGTCCAGAGTGAGAATGAAATATTGTACATAAGCTATGTGACCACACAAGTTAGATATTAGATAACATTGATAACACTAATGTTTCAAAGAAAAAGGGAAAATGTAGATTGTAGAAAAGATTATTTTTTAATGTCCTAAAAGGTCTGCAACTTTACAGTAAAGAAAGAAAAGGCTCGTTTAAGAGAAATTTCCAGAAAATGTCAAACTGTTTTATAGTAGCCTACACTGTCAAAGATTTATAAGTAGTAGTGCAGGGTTGTTAGTTTTACCTACATGTCCAAGTATTTTAATGTAATGAGAATCAGTGAATTGAGGTCCTGTTTCTCAAGTCACATTTGTAAATCAAATGAAGCCATTCTTTGGGAGAGGAGAACATTTTCATTTCAAAGAGTGAAATTAAACCATGACTTTATTTACGTGCTAGCAAATGAAAATTGGCCTCTCAATCATCTCTATTTTTAGAATATTACAGTTTGTAGCTGACATCTGAACCAAGACTGGAAATTTCTTGGTAGAGCTAGTTGGACGTTTCAATGATTATTTTAAGGATGATTATTTTAAGGATGCAGATAGCTGGGCTTTATAGCTAAAAAAGAGGAGCAGCAATTAAAAAAAAATACTACTGTGCAATCAAACTTAAAAATTTGTATCACTATCCAGTAAATCATCTGGAAATGTATCTGTCAATAAACTATCAATTAGAGTTTTCTCTTTGTGGCCATGTTGAATATGCTGGGGAAAGTTTTCATGTTGGTAGCAGGTGGAGAACTAATGGCAGGAATTTTCAGAAATGAATTCATGGGACTCACAAATTGCACTGCCTGGATTAGAAATCAGAATATTTAGGGGTAGAGTGAGGATTTAAGACTTGACTAAAATCACCCTAAGAAGGAAACAATATCTTTCTTAAGTGTGAAAATACTGAAAAAGAACCTTGGCAGGTCACAGCAAGGACTACAGAAAAGGGAGTTAAAAGTATGTAGAGTTTAAGGTGGTAGGCTGACAAAGACTATTTTGAGAGAGAAGGAAACAGAAAAGGAGAAGAACCCTAGGGAAGCTGGGTGGGAAAAGAGAGATAAGCAAGAAGAGGAAATTAATATGAGTAAGACAAATGAGAGGTCAAAAGTTGTACAATACACAACTCTGCCCCTCACCTCCACAAAAAGAGGTTGCTATACCACCTGGTGAAAGACAGTCTCCCCACGATGTTCAGAACAGGCCTGCCCAAGACTAACACTTCGACTTCTAAATGAAGTCAACGGAGGTTTTTAAGCTCACAAGAAACTTTTTCCACCCCCTACCTACCAACTGGGATATGAAAACTGGGATAGTGCCAAGAATAAGAATTTTCATCAGAAGTAACTTTTCTGGGCCTCCTTGGGGACATAGGAGTTAAGTCTCAGCACTATCACCGCTAAGGCCCGAGTTCGATTTCTAGCGATGGAGCTGACCCACATGGCGCAGCAGACCTCGCCTGCTTCACCTGCACGTCCCCTCAGCAGTACATTTCAGTAAATAAATCTACCTGTTTTGCTCCCCACTCTGTTTCTGGTTCTCTCACCCCCTGTACTTCTGGACCAGTTTTTCTAAGCAAAACTAAAACAATTTCAAAATTAAGAAAGTAGTAACTTTTTTTTTATCAGAGAAATCTTTCTACAACACAAGAACAGCATCTAATTACTGAATAGTTGATTTTCATCCTATTGCTCATTCTGTCTTCAAATCCTCTCTTCTCTCCTTGAAGCCCCATGCCCATACTCTCTCTCTTCCTCTCTCTCTCTTTCTCTCTCTCTCTTTTTCACACACACACACACACACACACTTGTCGATTTTAGAATCTATATCCACACAGATTCTCCATAAGAATATAATTTAATTTGTTCTTTACTCCCACTAATCTGTCTGATGTCAACTTGATTGCTTGACCAAGCCAAGAAGAACCCAGAAATGTAGGGACAAATTTTCTCTCCACCCCATGACAGCAATTAGGAAAAATGGACTATGCTTTCACATGAGTATATAAAGGAACTTTACAAACTGAATATTAAATTCAGGAAACCATAAATATCATAAATATTAAAAATGGGAGAGGTTGAGTTTGTGACTAGAAGTGGCAAATGGTGAGATTGGCTGTTGGGGAGATTTTTATGTTTATTTCTTGATCTGGAACTGGTTATGCGAATTTATACACTTAATAAAAATTCATTAAACTCTAATGTCATTTTTGGAGACTTTTTCTATGAATTTTTTCAATAAAAGGCATTTTACAGTTAACAGAAACATTTCTATTCATTTCCTAGGACTACTACATAAAATATGACCTCGAACTTAGTGGCTTAACGAAATTGAATTTTATAAATTTCTCCAAGAAGTAACAAAGCTTAATGTTTGTTTGCTTCTTTTTCATTTTATTATTTCTACCCAAAAGAGAGTTCTCTTTCCTGTGAAACATCAATTCTTGGAATGACTTTTTAATACAATATCTTATTTAGTTAAGCATTTTTCTATTATTAATTTATTTCTTCTCACTTATATTTCTCTTTTATTCTCAAAGTAACAATGCAAAAGCATTTATTTTGTACCCTTATTATATAGTTCTATGAATTTTTCTACCAAAATTTTATTTACTTATTCTGAAACATGTCAGTGTTGGGAGTGGAAACTATAGTTCATCAATTTAATATGAATAAAAGAGTTTAGCCTCCAATTTAGTACAATTATAACAACAACAAAGACAGATGTGGCTTTCATTCCCAAATATTCTATTTGCCTATTCATTATGGGAAAAAAATTATTGTTGGATAATCATGAAAATATATCAGATTCCTCTGATTCACCAATTGCATTGTATTTAATATCAAGCATTCTATGTCCCATGCATTAAATGCTTTTTTATGAAGGATACTTCTTTGTGTTGTTTCAATCTAGCATTTTTCTTTCATTGTTTGGGTTTTAATTTTTTAAAATTTTAATTAAAATTTGTTGTTTTCTCTTCTTTTTAAAAGATTTACTTATTTATACATACAGAACTGGGGTGCACGGGCAGTGAGAGGATTCACCTGAGACAGAGTGGGGAGCAGAACAGGCAGACTGACAAAGTACACTGCTGAGGGAAGCAGCAGGAGAGACAGGAGAGGTCTGCTGCACCATGTGGATCACCTCTGGGGTGGGGTGGCTGCAGTACTGTGTCCCAACCAGTTCTGCCACCAGGGAGGGCCTGTTGTTTTCTTTTTCAAATGAAGCACCATTGTTTTGCATCTTTGCTAGTGTTTGGAAATCCCTCCTCAGGTATCTCAGACACTCACCAAAGCACCTGTAATCCTCCACCACAGTCCATGGTGCTCTCCTCAGGACCGGTTTTTATTCTACCCCTCCCTCATTAATTTTTTATAATAATTTAAATATTTGTATTAATGGTATTAATATCTTATTAAGTAGAATATATTAATTATTTATATTCAATGTAATCAGTAGGCAACAGAGGCAATGGACAGTTCTAGAGGCCAGAAGCCTGAAGTCCAGGAGGTGGCAGGACTATACTCCCTCTGGAAACTCTCTGGGGACGTCCTTTCTTGCTCTTCTGGCTGCTGGTGTACCCACGGGCTTCTTGGATTGGAGCAGCATAAACGCACTCTCTTCCTTCTGTTTGTCAAATCCCTCATCTCTTCTTTTATAAGAACCCTGTCATCAGTTTTAGGGCCCACTCCAATGCAGGACAATTGCATCTGCAACCAAGGACAGACTAATAGCTACTAGGGATTAGCAAGTGGACATAACCTTTGTGGGAGGAGGGACACAGTTCAACCTACCACATCACCCTGATAAGAATCGGAGCTTTATACTGATGGAGCAAATGTGGCCAGTAGCTTTCTCCTTGATACTTCCTTCCTTGTGTCAAGAATTCTAATTTACTTAGGTGAAGCCTGAGGAAGTTGTCAACTTGGAATATCAGTAAGACTGGGATAGTACATAGGAGAAAGGTCAAAGGCTGGAGAGACAAACCCCATCTTCTTGTTTTTCTTCTTCTAAATTTGTATGTAGCTGTTAGTGAAGCTGGAATATTCTGGCCCTGAATAAAGATGTGTGTGGCTCAGGGACTGTGCGGCCATTTCCGGGACAGAGAGTCAGAGGACCAGTGCTGAAATGCTGATAAAGACCTTAGTAATGTTGAGCATGCCTTGAAGACATGTTTGTAGCCCTTCAGGGGTCCTGAAGTTAAACTGTAGCCATTTACAAATTCAGGGTTCTGGTCATATTGAATCTCAGGATTAAGAATTTGTGAGGAACCATGTATTTCAAAATTGTATTTGTTACTTTGAAAATCTACATGAATCAATTTAAAATTCCCTGCTTGAAGAGGAAGAAAGCAGAAAGCGATGTCATAGAATCTTCTGCTCATTTGCCTGTTAGCAAATATGAGGTTAACATTCCATCATCCCCAGAGATGAAATATCTAGCTTGTGACCATGATTAAAGTATCATTTAGTAATCGAGTTGATATTTATGAGGATTGTACTTTGGAGGGTTTTCGTGTTCGCAAGTGCTTTTTACAGAACTACCAACAGTGTTTTCTCATACCAGGGTTATGTATTTTTCTGGTCTGAGCCTCCAAAAACCTCAAAGAAGAACATTTTCAATCATTTCCAGAAAGTAGGCTGTGACAGAAGTGGCCGGGATTTGACTTCCTCAGATATGTCAGGTGCATTTGAAAATGTTCTTATCATCATTGAAATTGTAGAATTCCTGGTAGGTACCTGGGGCCATGGATTCATTGTCTTAGTCATCTGTGCCGACTGGATCAAAACCAAGAAAATCACCTTGCTTGACTTTATCTTCATGTGCTTGGCTGTCTCCAGGATTAGCATGACATGCCTGCTTCTCCAAGATAGTATCATCATGGCTTTCTATCCAAAAATGTATGAAATCAACCTAGTAGTCGGAATGACTCTTGGTTTCCTATGGAGTCTCAACAACTCCTTGAGCAACTGGTGCGTGACCTGCCTAAGTGTCTACTACTTCCTCAAGCTTTCCAATTTTACCCATCCCTTCTTTCTCTGGCTGAAGTGGAGAAGAGACAGAGTTCTTTTCACCATTCTTTTGGGTTTCTTTTTCTCTTTCTTTGCTAATCTTCTGAGCATAAAATGGAATACTTTTTGGATCCATGAATATTTAAAAATGGAAAAAAATAAGACCTGGAAAGAATGGCTGTATAAAAACTCAAGCTTCAGCCATCAAATTTTCCTGAACTTGGATGCCCTCATCCCATTTTTTGTGTCGGTCACTTCATTTTTCCTGTTAATCTTTTCCTTGTGGAGACATATCAGACAGATGATGCATCACACCAAAGAATCTGGACACCTCAACACAGAGGTTCCTGTGAGGGCCAGAAATATGATGATTTCTTTCATCATTCTCTTAGTGGTGCATTATTTGGCCAGTGTCTTGCTAATATGGTGCTACATCAAACTCAACAACTCAGCGAGTATTCTTATTGTTGAGATGGTAGCGTTACTCTATCCTTCAATTCACTCTTTCAATATAATTTTGGGGAACAGAAAAGTGAGACAGACTTTCACGAATCTGCTTAAGCAAATGGAATCTTACATCAAGAGAATGTAACCTTCATAGCATGGAGGGATCTGAAGAGAAGAGTTTACGTTCTGTGGAAAAACAACAAGACAATTCACGAGGAGCCTTTAGTTTCTACCATGGTCTTCATTTAGTGTTGATGGATTTTTTCTTTTCTTTTCTTTTCTTTTTTTTTTTTTTTGAAACTCTTGGTAGACCAGGCTATTACATAAGATTAAAAGGTTTCAGATTTTATGAAATATCCTAGGCAATTTAACATAGTAATTTAATTCATACAACATTTTTATTCTTGTTATTTTTTTCATGAGAACAATTCCAAGGCATATCATGTGTGACTTCATGGTTAGAATCCAAACTCAAATCTTCTGATCCAAAAGGGAAAAAGTGGGTAAAAAAAGAATTAAATGCCTCACATTAGCTCATAATTGTATTATTAATTGATAATGGCATTAAATTAGTTAATTGACCCTGGTACATCATTTTAGGAGATTTTTTTTTTTTTTTAAGATTTATTTATTTGTACATACAGAACTGGGGTACAGGCCAGAGACTCAGGGGCAGTGAGAGACTTCACCAGAGACAGAGTGGGGAGCAGAACAGGCAGATCAACGAAGTACACTGCTGAGGGGAGCAGCGGGCGGGTCAGGAGAGGTCTGCCACGCCATGTGGTCTCCTCCCGGGCAGGCGGGAATCGAACTCATGCAGAAGTGGCTTTAGCTTCTCAGTGCAGTGCTTTAACCCGCTGCGCCACCAGGGAGGGCCAGGAGATTTTTTTTATTAATTAAGACCTTGTGTTAAAGGGAAGGGTGTCCTAAAGGAACTCTGCAGAGTCTTGTGGACTCCACTTCATACTCCAGCTTCTGGACTCTACCTCCTACTCCAGTGATTGGAAACTACAACTCCCAGCAGTACCAGGAAGAGAACTGCTAAGACCCAAAGGCGGAGCTGGCAGGAATTCTGGGACACTGGGGGATACATAGGGCGCCAATGTGTCTCTTGCTCTTTCGCTCGGGAAACAGCTCTACGGACCACAGGACTCACGTTTACAGTGAGCCCAGCCGGTAAGGTATTCCAGTTACTTTGTATCCTGCTCTTTTTCCTTGGGTTGTTTCTTATTCCTTTCCCCTTTTGTAAGTAAACCCGTTATTGACCCTTTTGTGTGTACCTGCAGTATAACCGAATTTTGAGTGCGTGGGTGAGGCCCCACAGACAGGCAGCCCAAGTCCACTCTGGGCTACCCTGTAATACTTGGTTTTAATTAAGAAGGAAAAATATATTGTAAAAAGGTAAATTTAAATAATTATGTTCAATCAATGGGAGATGTTTTTCTTTATTAAAAATTCCCAATAACTTTTAAGAAGTACATGGGTTTTAAATGTAGCAGACAACATGAAGATATGTTTTCTTGACCTTTTCATTTAATAAGAACAACACAATTTCTGAAAATCACCACCAGAAACTGGCATGATGAGTGAAGCACATTCAATGTGAAACAAAATTTGCTCCTCCCTGGTGGCACAGCGGGTTGAAGCGCAGCCCTGCAAACTGGCCACAACCACTTCAATGCCAGTTCGATCCCCAGCCCCTGAGGTGACCCACATGGCACAGCACACCTCTCCTGTCTCTCCACTGCTCCCCTCGGCAGTGTACTTCATCAACCTGCCTGTTCTGCTCCCCACTCTGTCTCTGGTGAATCCTCTCATCACCACTGCACCTCGGGTCTATACCCCAATTCTGTATACATAGATAAAATAAATCTTAAAAGAAAAAAGAACCCCCCAAACTAAAAATTGCTCTTATGAAAGTAAAAACCATGAGATAACTGAAAAAAAAAAGAGAGAAAATATTAAAGTATGTTGTATTATGCATTAAGAAAAAATTGTTAACATCTGGAGAATTTAACCCTTCAGCCTGTTGGTCAAAAACGCTGAGAGCTTAAATGATGATACACGGACAGACTTAAGTACTTTAGGCGTGTAACTGTACAAAAGCAGTGAGAATAACGACTATCAAGAAAACCCTCCGCCATGATCTCTGTGTAAGGTATTTTTGGGTACTAACTTATGTTTAGGAATATGAAAATTCACATTTAGGAAAGGCAAAAGTCTGAACTGATATGAAAAATGCCATGAATTGCAGCCACTTATCTGCCGGCAGTGGCATTACATTCTGGAAATATTTTTTCCCTCCCACTGGGACATCAGGCAATATCTGGAGATATATTTGGTTATCGCCATTGAGGAGGTGCTTCTGGCATCTTGTGGATGGAGGTCAGAGATATTGCTGAGTTTTTTATAATTACAGGACCATTTTATACAACAAAGACCTATCCAGGCTAAAATCTCAATGTATGAGATTGAAAAACTTTTTAACATTAAGAGAAGGGATATTATTTTTTATTATAATAGTTTATTTTTACATCATTTTGTGCTTTTTCCCATCTCAGTTGTAGTCCCCTGGACTTCCATCACCAAATCACCCGTGTGCCATCACCATAGTCCAGTGCATTTCCCCCAATCCCCATTTTTGATCCCATTCCCCACTCCACCCCCATAAAATGTCTCTGGTATGTAGTTGTTCATTACTATTTTCCCCTTTTCCTTTATGCTCCTGCTATGAGTGAAGCCATCGATATTTTTCTTTTTCTTTCTGGCTTATCTCACTAAGCATGATCAAGAAGGGATTTATTAATGAATCAAAATAATTGACTCTTTTAGCTACTCAAGATACATAAGACTATTATTAATATTAAAAAATGATAATTATATGTTTCCTAGTGGGAAAATATTACAGAAATACATACACTGTTTCCCACAAAACATGTGACACTTAAAAACATTGTAGCATAATGTTGACAATTCTTTAAAAAAAAAAAGCTATTGAGGTGATTTCCAATTTTCTGCAGAGATTGTGGGTGGCTTTACTGAATATCTTTTAACATTACTTTAAAAATTCCTTTCCAAAGTAGTTTTCTGATGCCTGAGATTAAGTTACTGTGGACACTTTGTTTTGCATAAATTTTTGATTGCTGGTAAAGTGGAAGTTCTTTTTATGCCAGCTTGTACGTGACGTTTGCATCTGGTACAACTGAAAGTGAGCTTCCCGGATTCTTTGAAGTGAGTCTTTGGAAAGAGTGTAGAGAAATTCTGAAGGCTTTTGCGAAGAGGCTAAAATACAATCCTACTTTAATCACAAAATTAGAAACAGTCACATTAATAAACATACCTATAAAAACAGTAATTAATACTACACAACTTAAAGAATTGAGATTTTCCTATTGTCTATAGTGGAGAATTTGGCATGAAGTTAAAGTTTAGGAAATATTTCTGGATGATTGGAAAAGATAATATTTTTTCATTTATATTTACCTTATCTAGTGAGTGATGTTTCCATGGAGAAAGCACATTATTCAGTAAATGCTACATGCAGTAAATGTTACATCCCTGGAATTCTGCACATCTTAGCAATATTTTGGAAAGATACATTAATCAGGACACTTTTGACTACCAGTAAGAGAAAAACTGTATAAAACTGGAGTGAATTCTAAGGAAAATATCTCCTATTCCAGGCATCTAAAGGAGGAAGTTTCCAGCTTTGGTGATATCAGGAATTCATTGAGCTTGCCAAGGAATCTGGCTATTTATCTCGCTGTTCTCTTCACCTCACGGTCTTCCTTCTCATGTGGTGACAGATATTGGGGTGACAGTATGTTTGCCAATGGAACCTGGGCCTATTTTTTATTTGTGACAAGCTGGAAACAAAGAACCCTTATTTAAGTCATGAATAATAAATCCTTCGTTTCGGCCTATTCACATCTTTACCTCACTCTACACTTGGGTCCACAACCAGCAGACTGTCATGAATTAACTGACTCCAGGAGACATAGCAGGGCCCATGCTGGTGTCAGCTGGGCTATGTTCAGGCTGTTTTAGCTCATAACTTTCTAGAAGTGTTCTTGAAGAAGTTTTAAATTAGAAACAGTTGCATACTATTTTTTCATATTTTTGGTATCTGTAAGAACTGTAGTAATGTATTTCTAGTCCTGATGAATATTGGTGTATTTCTATCAAAAAGTTCATTTTCCACATCACTGATTTTTGTATCACTATACTTTCTTGCTTTCTGGCACCTACCTTACTACAAAGTGACAACTGTTCGGGATTTCTTTGTAACTGATTCATAATCGGTTTTCCTTTTTAGATCATATTGTCAAGTATCTGCTGCCTGAACTGCCAGAAAGATGACAAGAATGTGGCTTATTCAGTGTCCATAGTGGCTAAATTCGTCTCTTCCATGCACTATTTTAAACTTCTATATCTAACCTAAGTGTTGTAATTATCAACACTTAAATGATACTGATGAGATTGAAAAAGAAGTCAATGTATGTCTCTCTTGTGGGTTTGGTACTCCCACTTCACAATTCAGGTTAACAAATGCAAATAATCTCAGAAGGCCAGGTAAGGTCCACGAGCCAAAACGTCTATTTGCATCTTAGCAAATTGTAAGTGAACATATTCTACATTGACTGTACAGACATAGCTGGAGGAAGATTTTTGGATTCTCTCACAAGCCATTAAATGGGGCACCTTTCAGGCTTTATGAAATGGAAGAGAAGAAAATAATTCCTCCATCAAGCAGCCAATCTATGCCTCATCCTTCAACAGGTAATCTGACCCAGATGTAACAGTGGCAATATTAAGGATTGGCAGATATGTTAAATACAGTGGAAGTTTTCCTAATTTTTGTAGTGATTAGTGAGTCAATATTGGGGGTTCTAGGGAATGGGTTCATTGGAATTGTCTATTGCATTGACTGTGTGAAGAAAAGGAAGTTTTCTATGATTGGTTTTATTCTCATAGGCTTAGCAACTTCCAGAATTTGCCTGATAGTGATGATCACTACGGATGGACTTATAAAGCTATTCTTTCCAGATATGTATGCCTCTGGTAAATTAATTGACTATGTTAGTTACTTGTGGGTAATTATCAGTCAATTAAATATCTGGTTTACTACCAGCCTCAACATGTTCTACTTCCTGAAGGTAGCAAATTTTTCCCACCACATTTTTGTCTGGTTGAAGAGTAGAATTAATAGGGTTCTTCTCCTTGTGATGGGATCCTTGCCTATTTCTTTGTTAATTACTTTTCCCCAAGCTGAGAAGATTTTGAAAGATTATAGAATGATGAATAGCAGCATGGCCTGGCAGATCAACTTTCCTAAAGATGAATACATCACTAAGCAGATATTGTTCAATCTGGGAGTCATAGTCCTCTTTACACTAACCCTGATTACATGTTTCTTGCTAATCATTTTCCTCTGGAAGCACAGCAGACAGATGCAACTTAATGTGACAGGACTCAGAGACCCCAGCACCGAAGCACATATGAAAGCCATGAAAATTTTGATCTCCTTTGTCATCCTCTTCATCTTATTTTTTATAGGTGTTGTCATAGAATTATCATATTATATGAGGCCAGAAAACAAATTGTTGTTTATTTTTGGTATGATAATCACAGTACTCTATCCTTGGGGCCACTCATTTATCTTAATCCTAGGAAACAAAAAGATAAAGCAAGCCTACTTGGTGATACTGCAGCAATTAAAGTGTCGCAAGAAATAGAAACTTCATAGAATTCCCCAGACAGACTTGGGGAGAAGTGGAGATTTGAAGAAAATCTACTAGAGAAGAAATGCCTGAAGACCTCGTTCATGCGCATCATATTATTGCATTGATTTTAAGTATATTACTGAACATCACCAAAATCTTCCATAATTATTTTGACTTCATCTCAGAGAAGCTTACTCTGCAATAAGATTTTACTCTCACCTGTAAATTCAGTGACTCAGTCAATTTCTTTTTCCTGCAACTTCTCTCCTCAGATTTCCCAGGTGAGAAACATCTTGGAGATGTTCTCTATGACGATCATGATGGTGGAAATATGAATCTATAAAACAAGACCTTTTATGGTACCTTTACCAGATTATCATAATGGAGTGATAGCCTTTTGCCAAGACTCAAAGAAAAAGGTTAACAAAGGAAGTTATGAACATGGAAATGAAAAGACAGGGTTACCCCTGTCTTTTCAGTTCTTTAAAGGATTGCTATTATTTTCACTGCTCAAAACCTAATGTCTGATTTTTACTGTGTGTGTTTGATATGGCATCAATAATCATAGCTGTAGACTTGACTAGTTTTGTGAAAAATAATTCAGGAAAAGAAGTCTACTTGGGAGGAAGGGGGTGAGTGTTGATTAAGGAGTCTTTTTTTTTTTTTTTTTTTGATTAAGGAGACTTTATGTCCTTCACGTTACAATTGAGTAAAGATTCTGCTAAACAGGATAAGAACCATGTGTCTACATTGTGGTATGCATCCAAATCAATACTTAGGCAGAGAATATATAACTTTGAATATGCTACTTAAAAATAGGAAGATTGAAAAGAAGTTATAAAAAGAAAAAAAGAATGTTTTTCTTTCAAGCTTATGGCAAAACATATATCTGGAAAAACCGTTCCAGTTCAGAATATATAAACAGTTGGGGGCAAAAAATCTTCAGAATTATTTTCAGGACAATGTCTAGTAGTCAGAAAAGTAAGAAGAAATGCTCAAATGACAAAAAAAGTGATAGAAAAGTATACATTTTGAGAAAAGAAACGAACTGAAAATAGGGCCCATGGAACATTTTAAATCCTCCTCTACGTTTTCAAGGACCATGTTCATAAGATACATAGCTTGGGTCTTTCCAAGGCTGGAAGTGAAACTGAACACAATTGATGAAAATTTGTATTGTGGTAAAATATACATGACATAAAAATTTGCCATTCTAAACATTTTAAGCATACACTTTGGGTACTATTTTACAGAAAACTGGGTCCCCTTAAACTATCAATGTCCAGCTTTCCTATTACACATTATGTATATGTAAGAACTAGGGGAAATACTGCATATGTTGTGAAGTACGCTTAAATATGAGACGAACTCTAGTTTATGTGATTTGTATTACCTAGTTTCATATTTACTGTGGGTTAAATCATGTGTCCCCAGAAAAAGAATAAATAAATTTACAATAGAAGTTAGAAGTTGTCCTGTTTCTTGGAAATATTGCTTGTTAAAAAAAAAACAACACATGAACATGAACATTTTTACTGTCTTTGCCATATCTAGGAAAATGACTATAATATAGAATGTGGGATCATAAACTTCATAAAAGGCTGTGATGAGGATAATTTAAAATGTAAACTTCCTTAATCTTAGATGAAACTGTTTATCATCCAAGAGACAATGTTTCAGAAAATGAATTGGCAAACACAACATTTTCCATACTAAATAAAGGTAAAGATAGGCTCTTAGCATGTGTCACTATAAATAAACCACTGGACAGAGAACAGATTTTAGTGAACTTTGTCATGTTCTTGCCTAGTGTAACACTATGACTTTTATATTTACATAATAGCCTTCCCTAATTAACCACTCACATAAAACAAAAACCATTATCCTCTAACTTAATATCAAATTTCTACCATCTGACCACACTGATCATTTCCAAAACCAACATCCATTTCTTCTTGGAGACCTGACTTGTGGGTCATTTATAATTTATGCTGTTGAAACATCATCCTATAATTTATGATGTTTCATATATATATATATATATATATATATATATATGTTTTGTTTTGTTTTCTTTTTTTGTGGCTCCCTATTCAAAACACGATTGGACAGGTCCAAATATACAGAACTTAAGAGCAGGAAGCCTATTGCAAATTCATGAAATAGTATCTCTTTTCATTTTGCATGCGAGCAATTTCAACCAAACCAATTTCACTAAAAGGCACTAATTATAACTTGCCTAGACTTCAAATTAACTGAAGGGCTCAGTTAATTTAGTCTTCATGAATGTAGAAGCTATCCTATTGCAGAGCAAAGCTGGACCCCTCTGGAATGTTCTCTGAGTCAGAATCATGACAAATGAAAACATTCTTTTGATTTGAAGAATTTGCTGTGTTCCTACTGATCATCTGTAAACGAGCTGATCTGCAGTTTTATCAGATCAGCCTGTTCTGTCTATCAACATGCCCAGCACAGAGGACACCATCTTCATAGTCGTAGTCACTGGAGAATCCGTCACAGGACTGCTGGGGAATGGATACATTGCACTCGTTAGCTGGAGACACTGTAGTAAGAAGAAAAAGATCTCCTCGATTAACTGCATCCTTCTAAGTTTAGCTGTCTCCAGAATCTGCTTGGTCTTTTTTATAGCAACAGATAGTATCCTCAGGGTCCTCCTCCCAGACTTTTATGAAAATGATCAACTACAGGTAGTCTTCAGTACCTTCTGGACACTCATCAACTACTTAAGTATATGGGTTGCCACCTGCCTCAATTTCTTCTATTTACTCAAGATAGCCAATTTCTCCCACCCGCTGTTTCTCTGGCTGAAGTGGAGGATCGACAGGGCCATTCTCTGGATCTTACTGGGGTGTTTGGCCATTTCTTCTCTGATCAGCCTTATTTTAGCAGTGATTCCAAAGGATGATACATTTCACATGATTGTAACACAGAGAAGAAACATCACTGAACTATCCCATGTGAGTAAAAGGCAGTACTTCAACTCCATGACTCTCTTTAACCTGTTCATAATTGTCCCATTTTCTGTGTCATTGATGTCATTTTGCCTTTTAATCATGTCCCTGTGGAGACACACCAAGCAAATGAAACTCAGTGGCACTGATTACAGAGACCCCAGCACAGCCGCCCACATAGGAGCCATGAAAAACATCGCTTTCTCTCTTGTCCTTCTTTTTGTTTACTGTGGGGCTTGTCTTTTGGTGACTTTTAGCTACCTTCTGAAAGAGAAAATGTTAGGTGTGATGTTTGGAGAAGCAACATCAATTCTCTACCCCTTAGGCCACTCCCTGATTTTAATTATTGGAAATAACAAGCTGAAACAGTCCTTGGCCAGGAGGCTGAAATGTATAAAAATAGCATGCATGATGTAAAACCTTAATTTTATAAATGGACCTCAAAAGCATTTTTTTTTCTAGCTAAAAAAATATTTTTCTTAAAGGTGACTTTCAATTTATCCAACCACTCCATTTATTTTTTTAATTAAAAATTATTCATTATATTGTCCTTCATTTTCATACACTGTATGGTTTCCCCATGAAATTCCCCACCCCCTCCCAACCGCACCCCTGTCCTGGTCCTTCTCTCTCCTCCCCTACAGAATGTCTCTGATCTATTGTTGCCTGATGATTTTGATTTTTACTTTATTATAGTTACTTTTCTTTCTGATTCCTTATTTGGCTTCTCTGTATCCACTCCATCTTTTTAATGCATCCCTCCAAGTATTACTAGCACCTGGCAGTGAATAGAAACCTTTCTGTCGCCTTCCCCACAGCTATTCCCACCTGCACATTCACTTTCCTCCAAGAATTTCATAGTCCCCCATCTCTCCCTTCATCTTCTCACTGAGTATTAGTATGTATCGCCTAGTTCAGTTCCTTGAAGGATTTTCTTGCTTTTGTTTTCAGAATGACTTCCCTCAGAATATGTGTCAGTAAGAAATACGTGTTACGATGCTGTGCAAATGGTTGTCTTCTGTAAGAGAAACTAAATGCCTTGTCTGTGCTCTCGAGAATGTCAATATGAAGACTTTTGATATTAGTATGTATTTTTTTAGTAAGGTAGTCTTGGTAAGTTTGCAATGCTGTATACAATTCAGAACTAGAGGACCCCAACTTTCCAGCTGTATGTCCCCACACTCACCGCCATGGCACCCACAGTCCTCCCAGCCCACTATGCTCCCTCTGGGTTACCACTCCATCCTCTCTCTCTCCCTCCAGTAGCCTGTTTTACAGTGAGATTCCTAGGGCTTGCTCTGACCCTTTGTTTTATTTCTCTATTTTCCTCTATGAGCAAAAGCATCCAGTACTTGTCTATTTCCTGCCTGCTTATTTCACTTAGAGTCATGCTCTCCAGTTCCATTCAATGTTGTCCCAAATATTTTGAAGTTTTTGTTACTACACAGACTCATCCACCCTTGGGTCATGTGAGTGATGGGTGACAGAAGTTCTGGTTACTGAAATAAATGGCCTCCTTATATATACTGCGTGTATATGTGTATATATACCATCAAGACGCGCATCTTCGTTGCTGGCCCTTCGTTGTGCTTCCTCCCCCACTCTGCTGAGTCATTCCTATTTGCCCTACTCACTACCATGGAAATTGAGATCTCCTGACTTTTCTCTGGGTGAGTTTCCTAGTCATCTCTCTCCTCCCAAGTGAACAATGCTTTAAGTGATCTCCCAGGTAATATTTTGTAGTCAACTTTATTCTGATGTCTTTTGTTCATTTTCGTCTCCCCCCACGCTCCCTTGCTGTTCTTCACTTCCCTTTAAGCTAAATTTCCCTACAAGGAACTTGCTATTCTGACAACACCAACATAGGACTAGAGCCCACTCAAATCTCTCCCCCAAGGGGTGTTCTTAAGTGCCAGATAAAGAGTTGGGGATAGGGTATCCCTGGTGGCGGAGTGGGTGAAAGCACAGCACTAAGAAGCTAAAAAGCCACTTCAGCGTGAGTTCGATCCCCGCCTGCCCCGGAGGTGACCACTTGGCACAGCAGACCTCTTCTGACCTCCCGCTGCTCCCCTCAGCAGTGTACTTCGTCAGTCTGCCTAGTCTGCTCCCCACTGTGTCTCTGGTGAATGTTCTCACCGCCCCTGCACCTCTGTCCTGTTCCCCAGTTCTGTATACATAAATAATAAATCCTAGAAAAAAAAATAAAAGGTTGAGAATATTATCACCACTGATCATTTTGCTTTCCTCAGCAAGACCTGCAGGGATTCTCTCCTGTCTGCTGTCAGAAAAACACCTGGGGGAGTAATTAGCATATATTATGGAATAGCAGCAGCCATCAGTAAGACAGCAATGTGTGCCTGCTACAAATACCTGGTAATTTCCAAAAATAAAGAGGAAAAAAAAGTCATTAAAAAAGGTGTGAACAGCCAATCCCTCCTGCTGGGATTTAGTAAAACACTTGGCCTTGCAGTCTGAAGTTGCCATAGTTGTGCTGAGATGGCGGTGCATTGTGATTCTCATCACTTACTACGTCTCACTTGTTCTACTTCAATCTATATATTTTCTTTTATTATAACTAAAATGTTAGTCATCTGAAGACGATCAGTTTTCCTGTATGTGGTGATATTTGCTCTGTAAAGTATCAATATTCATAGACTTTGGTACATATATTTCTTCAACTATATAGACTTTGGTACATATATTTCTTCAACTATATTTCTAGTGTCCCAGCTACTAACGTTGCTATTTGTTATACAAGACAGAAAAATTGATGTTCTTTTTTTTTTTTTTTAAGATTTATTTATTCATACAGAACTGGGGTACAGGCCAGAGATGCGGAGGGTGAGAGGATTCACAAGGCACAGAGTGGGGAGCAGAACAGGCAGATCGACGAAGTACACTGCTGAGGGGACTAGCGGGCAGGTCAGGAGAGGTCTGCCACGCCATGTGGTCACCTCCGGGGCAGGCGGGGATCGAACTCATGGGAATTTGCTTCAGCTTCTTAGTGCAGTGCTTTAACCCACTGCGCCACCAGGGAGGGACCCAAATTGATGTTCTTTTGATGGAAGATAATATGTTGTATAGAGTATTTGTAAATTGTATAATAGTGGCTTCCCTGGTGGCGCAAGGAGTTAAGTCAGCGCTAGGAAGCTATCCACAGCTAATGCAGCATGAATTTGATCCCCCAGCCAGGGAGCTGACCCACATGGCACAGCAGACCTCTCCTGTCTGGCCCCCTGTTCTTCTCAGCAGAGTATTTCAGTAGATCCACCTGGTCTGCTCCCTACTCTGTCTTTGGTGAATCCTCTCAGCCCCATACCTCTGGCCTGTACCCCAGTTCTTGTTTGCAAAATAAAAAATTTTATGATGGGATGAGCTATATATTCTTCTACAGATTTAGATGCAGTAAATATTTTATAAGTAGTACTTCTGGGAAGGCTTCCTTCTATTACCTGGAAGTCTTTCATATTTTGCTTTTTGTATCTCTAATTTTAAATACCACTGATGAGCACAGGTGTTGAAAGCATAGGCTGGGATAACATGCTGTATTATTGCAGAAAGAAGATTTTGTATAAGTTCCACCTTTTAAACAAATGTTTAATTGTACAATCTAGTATTGTTAATTACAGGCAAACTATTGTGTAACATTTCTTTAAAACTTTTTCATTTTGCATAACTGAAACTCCCTATTCCTTGAATAGCAGCTCTCCATTTCTTCCCCGTCCAGTAGAATCACACTGTATTTGTCCTTCTGTAGTTAAGTTATTTCATAATGTGTCTCAGTTTCCTCCATGTTCTTCTTCTGGCAATGAACCACATCACCTCAGTTTGGGAGAACACATGCACAGATAACCAGTCTAGGTGTGTTGGGGGGCGCGTTTATTCAGCAGATCTGGTCACACTCTCTAAGTGTCCAGAAAAGAACCAGATATTCTCATACTTAACTTTTGGGTGATAAAATTTTAAATATGTAATTAAAATGTACATACAAATGTAAACTTTTATCCTTAAAAGATCTGTCTGTAAAATTAAGTCTACAGGGATGGGGGGAGAGGGTGGAGATCCATGTGTGGAGGGGCCCAGAGGACCCCCAGTGGCAGAGGTCTAGGGGTGTATTGGTGGTGGGTGTGGGGGGGTAACATACACGCAAGGGGTGTGGACCTGTGTCTCTGCATCACATGCAGTGCCGTGAAACAATGTCACCTCCAGCCAATCAATATTTTTTTAAAAATTAAGAAAAAAATGATTGGGAAATAGAATATTCTGTGTCCAGCATTTAAGTGTGACTGAAAAAAAAAAAAACTATTAAAAAGTGCTAGAAATTTGCTGTCCTCAATTCTACTATGGCAAAAGAAATTCATTTTTAGGGAGCATTTCTGTTCCATAAGAATGATAATTCAGCCCCTCTAGTCAAACATTCAAACCAGCATCTTGCATTGCCTTTGTTGCCCTTGAATGATTGTTTTGACAGGGCCCTGTTTCTGGCAGGAGGGCGTAAAGGTAAATAAACGTCACTGCTATTCTCCAAGGCTCAGGATTTTTTTTTTTTAGCTTTTCTTTAAAATTTATTTATTTGTGCATACAGAACTGGGGTATAGGCCAGAGGGCAGGGGCTGTGAGAGGATCCACCAGAGACAGAATGGGGAGCAGAACAGGCAGATCTAGGAAGTACACTGCTGAGGGGAGCAGCGGGCGGGTCAGGAGAGGTCTGCCACGCCATGTGGGTCACCTCTGGAGCCAGGGATCGAACTCTCATTGAGGCAGCCGTTGTGCCGCCAGGGAGGGCCCGCTCAGGATTTGTTTCTAATTTAACTTTTCATTGAGGTAACATCCATTTACAACCTGCTTGTATTTTGGAAGTATAGGATCCCCCATCAGGGGTAAATACTTGCACAGCATCCAGCCACCAAAGCACCCACAGTCCTGCACTAAGTCCTCTGTGCCCCGCCCCCCATGTCTCTTTGGTGTTCATTAGCTTCTGCTACATCACCTGTCTTCATTTTCACGTGGTATTCTCCAGGTGTGCATATCTATGTATACAAATTTTTCTTTATATAAGGATATTGGTCCTATTGGATTAAGAGTCTATCCCGCTCCCACAAGATTTCATCTTTTTTTTTTTTTTTAAGATTTACTTACTTGTGCATACAAGAACTGGGGTGTAGGCCTGAGATGCGTGGTAGGGTGGAGGAGTGAGAGGATCCACCAGAGCTAGAGTGGGGAGCAGGACAGGAAGGTCTACTGAAATACACTGGGAGAGCAGTGGATGAGACAGAAGTGCAGCACCATGTGGGTCACCTCCCTGGTGGGGGATTGAACTCTTGCTGCAGTTGCTGGCCATAGCTTGATAGTGCTATCTTTAACCCCTGTGCCACCAGGTAGGCTTCTGAAGCTCATCTTAACTAATAGCAACGGCA